ATACAAATCATCATCATCATCATCATCATCATCATCATCATCATCATCATCATCATCATCATCATCATCATCATCATCATCATCATGTTGCCGAAGATGCGGCCATGAAAAGGAGAATATCAAACATATGTTTGAATGTCCAGGAACATGGCAATTCGAATAGAGTTATTTGGACGAATGGGGGTGCCTCTAAGCATATTGACAATGGAGCCGAAAAAGTGCCTCGCTCTCACTCGAAGATTTCTTCGTGAAGTCCGTCAGGCCCATTAAGGAAACAAAACAAATCCTCATCATCATCATCATCAACAAAAACAACAGCAGCAACAACAACAACAGCAACAACAACGACGACGACAACAACACCAACAACAACACCAACTGCAGCAGCAGCAACAACAATAAGAACGGGAAGACATATTTCCAAGAATGTTATAACAAACCTGTTTTGATATGCGTCACGTAGGGTAAAACATAAAGACACAGACTTCGTCTCCATTAAATATCTCACCATTTTCCCTGTAAACTTGTCGTTTCCGTTGTCGTCACTGCCACTACCCGGAAGATCGACACGTCCGGCGGTCACGGCAGAGTGACCATCTCTCTGTGGGATTTCCCGCCCCAGCCTGAGACGTTTCATCGAGGACTCCATGACCTCTACGTCCGTGTCGGGGTCAGAGGTGACAGTGGCTGCCCCTTTTTCCTCCTCTTCCTCCTCGCTGCTGCTGAGACACGGAGGGTCAAGGTCACCGGATGTGAACTGTTGCATTAGCCATTTCTTCTTGAAGACCTGTAGCCAGCGTCGGTATCGTTCCTCCTCCTCCTCCCCCCTCTCCACTCCGCTCTGTGCCGGGCAGTGACTGTAGTGTCTGTACAGGTAACGCTTGACCCAGTCTCGGAACTCCCGGGTGACCAACTCCTGTGGACACACAGTGGACAGTACATGGTCAGCTTGCCAGAAAAACAATAATCAGATAGCGAATTAGGCCATGCTATATCATAACGAATTACATCTTATGGCTTAATATCCCGTTTGTGTTGAAAGGATCAAATAACATAGTTTCTAAGTTGAGATGAGTTGGGTAATTTTTCCGGGTTGAAAGAACGTTAATCTACAATCTACCATACTGTCAAACCCACCTTCAACTGTCCCCGCCTCACTTCTGGAACGTCCACTTTGCTCTGGCCCACCTGACCCGTCCTCACATGCCATCTTGGCAGAAACCTCAACAACCACGTGACGTAGTCCTCAGGCACTCCTGCGTCCTTGACATTGTTGGCCTTGACCTTCTCCGAGTCTGAGAGGTGGGCGGGTACAGAGGTGGGGATCTGGTGGTCCAGTCTCCAGGTCAGGATGAACCGTTTGGTCCACGATCGAATCTGTCTGGACACCTGGCTCTGCAGGAAATGGAAATAGAAACATTGATAATGGTGGTCACTGCAGATAATCTAGAGAGACTTGATCGCAAAAAGTCGTTTTTAAAATAAAATGTGTGGTATCTACTTAATTCTGTGTGAAGAACTTTAGGAAAATGTGACGGCTACAATTAAGTCTTTCAGAATCTTCAATAGCTCTGGAGAAAAAAAAAACCTATTCCAAACTCAGATCTAAATTTGTACACTGCTTCTCATAACTAGCTATACATTAAAAAAATTCTATTACCACGAGGTTTATAGGAGAAATAAAACATAACAAACTGCATATAATGTGTGGTATGTAATGACATTTATTTTGGAAGCTTATTCAGAGATTTTTTTCTTCTTTTTCTTCGAGGACAAAAACTAGAATAATAAAAAAAATAAAAAATTACACATTAAGAAGAGTGTTATCATCCATTATCAGGCATCAATAAAAACAAAAGGAGAATCTCAAAATGGGCGAGTTTTTCTCTTGGCACATTCGATCCCGATACAAAGATACATTTTCTACACATATAGACAAAAGGGACAACAGATTGGAATTTTAAAAAAAATTTAGATCTAGTAAAATCTAAGAAAAATAAATACGAGGCAAAAAAAGGAAAGAACAGCCACTTACTGCCAAGTGACCAGGCCTGAATCCACTGGCCTGGGATTTCTTCCACCATTTCTCCCGGCCATCCTCTCCCAGGTTTGAAGCTTTGTCTTTTCTACATCCTTGTGGGCGACTTTTGCAGCCTGGGCGACTTTCGTCCATTGTTGGACGTTCACACGTTGGGAAACTTTTACAGCCTCGGAGACCTAATTTGCCTCTTCGCTGACCTTCACCTCCGGAGTGACCTTCACAACCTCCTTGACCTTTTCCCATTCTGTGACCTTTACGTCCAGGGCTGCCACATCTAAACTCTGGGGCTGCTCGTTTACCATAACGTCTGACCAGGTACCATCTCATCCACCGGCGGAAATCCACGGGCACAGATTTCTGTAGGAAAAATTGGTTATCATCATTATCCAAAAAAAATAAAGTAGCGGAGATTTATTTTAAAAATAAATAAAATGATACCCCCCCCCCCCCTCAAAAAAAAGAAAGAAAGAAAAAATATATTATTATAATGTTCATACTGTAGAGCTTCATTGGAGAATGATAGCGAAGAAATCCAATACAATTTTTCATCAAACTTCAAAATCCAATCACGAAATATTTATAAGGCCGATTTATCTATTTCAAAGAAGCATTTGCCCAGTCCTTAAGCAAATACAATTTTGGCAAGTTGTGTGGACATGACGCACAACACAGTCACAATAAAGAGTTTCTTTCTCTGGAAACATAATAATATGATCTCACAGGCATAAACTATGGTTTGCCACAGTCACCAGCGGAATATATTTCCAAGCGACTTACCCTGAGAGTCGCCATCTTGTTGACAGCGCCACGCTCGTCAGAATCACTCCCATCATGCCCCGCAGCACACACTTCCGCTGTCTCCCATCTCTTGTGGAACTTGGTCAGCACCTTGACTAGCCAGACCTCGTAACCCTCCGGCACTCCGGCCTCCTCCCTCGTCATGGTCTTCCCCTTCTTCTCTTGCCCGCTGTCGCTGGATGTCGTCGTGCTGACGTTCTCGAGGTTTTCTTTTCTCCAGTTGTGGACGTAGATCTTGGCCCAACGACGCTGGCTCACGGGGACAGATTCCTGGACAAGACACAGACCGTGGTCAGTTAAGATAGTGTACAAGATACAGATACTGGTTAGTTAAGATACTGCTAGTCAAGACAAGCATTGCATTTTTTGTAAAATGTTCCTTGTTTTAAACTGAGTTTTCTAATCCGTCCTTAAATCTGTTGCTATGGTAGCACTTTCAAAGTGACCAACGCGGGAAAAGTTTGTTCAACATAAGACATAAAAACCATTGTTATTAAATTGGTATTTATTTCTTTTGTTTGCTTGATTGTCTTTTTAATGGGATATCTAGTCATGACAAAGATTGTGTGCAATGTGTTATGAAAGATGAACTGATTCGACAGGATTTAGATTTTCATACCTCTGCAACCAATCAGATTTAAGGCAAAAACTTACCCTCAGCGCCTTCTTCCAGTCTCGCTTTTCGATGATCTTCTCTCGCTCGCCAGCGTGTGGCCCTTGGGCCATCTGTCTCTGGCCATCACATGGGCCACATGGCCCGGCCGGTGACTCTTGCCTTCTCTTCCAGAGTCCGTGGTTCTGGCCTCTTCGCCTCCTACATCCAAGACCGCCTTGCTGTCCAAACATTCTGTACAGAGAAGTGGGCGTGCCGTGTGGGAGGGGCAAACCCTCGTGATTGACAGCAGCCGGTACCTCTCTGTTGTGTCGTACACGAGTGACCTCAGACTCTGGATCTGTACTAAGCTCCGCCTCTTCCTCCATCATCTGCTCCACATTGACGGATTGACCATCAACTACTGAAGAAAAAAAAAAAGATGTTATTAATCGGATCGTATGGGAATGAACTCAATGATTTGTATGTGTGTGTGTTTGTGGGGGGGGGGGTTAATTTTTCATGGTTTGGTTTTGTTTTGTTTTCATTGTTTTTGGTGGTGGAAATGTCTTGATACAATGTGTATTGGTACAACCTGATTTTGGATACAAATGATCTAAAAAAAAGAATACCCTTTAGCCTATTATGCTGTGGACCCTGTGGGGGCTTACAAACTCAATTGAACTAAGAGCCAACGAAAAAGCCTGTACTCACCATTGATGTAGACTTTGAGCCGTCCTGTAGAGCTATGTGTCAGAGCCTCTTGTAACTCCTCATCAGTGGACATCTGGACAAAGTCACCGTCCGGGTCTAGGGAGGGAACACACAGTGGTACATGTTTTACATTGGGTTTTTTTAGATCTTATTGGTAGTATGAGCTTGGTATCTCTCTTTAGATCTATTTCTTTTTACATCTCTCTCTCTTTGTCTCTCTCTCTCTCTCTCTCTCTCTCTCTCTCTCTCTGTCTGTCTGTCTGTCTGTCTGTCTGTCTGTCTGTCTG